GTAAGGTAACATGTTATGTAACATGTTATATTAATGTTATAATTTCAGTTACCTTAAAATAATATTCATTTTTCATACATTTAATAAAAAAGATCACGCAATTTCTATCCAAAATTGTATAATGTTTGACATTCAATTATTTTTTGGTACTTAACAATAGTTTGATATTAAATGACAAATCAGACTTTCAATGAAATTATGTAATGATAAACTATCTGATTTTACATAAAGACAATTAGGATTTCATTTGACTAGCAAACAATTACTGGTAATGCATATGCGCGTATGAATTAAATTCCCATTTTTTCATACGAGTAGTAAGCAAAATATGACATATATTAATCTTATGACATTTGACGATGAATTATGACAATGACGATGACGATGATGTAATAAAATAAATGACAGTTAGCACCAATGTAGTTCCGTTTTGTTATAAATATGTGCTGCATATACACAGTAATATCAGGACAGTAACATAATGTAAAATGAGAGTAACAAAGTTACGCTACATTTATATAGATACGATAGTAACAAATGTTATGTAACCTGTTAGCTCCATGTTACATAACTGTTAGGTTACTGCATTGTAACAAACGTTATGTTATTTGTTAGCTTAAAGTTACGTAACTGTTAGATTATTACATTGTAACAAACGTTATGTTATTTGTTAGCTTAAAGTTACGTAACTGTTAGATTATTACATTGTAACAAACGTTATGTTATTTGTTAGCTTAAAGTTACGTAACTGTTAGGTTATTACATTGTAACAAACGTTATGTTATTTGTTAGCTTAAACTTACGTAACTGTTAGGTTAGGTTAGGTTAGGTTAGACCTTTCATGGAAAGAAAAGTTTGTCCCATTATATACAGTACGTCTCTAGAAAAAAATTGTAAAAAATATGTAACTTTTTTGCGGTTCACAGTGGTATAGCCTCTTAATTAATCAATTTACAGCTTTACTGAAGGTTCAGCCAACTGCGTTAACGGACATTGTAGTTCTACCAGATGTTCAGATACTCTGCACGAGTTCAACAGAACGTGATCTAAGGTTCTACAACACTATGGCGAAGAAGTTTGATTTAAGAGTCATGGTAAATATGGAGATATCAAATGTGCGAACGGTATATGAGTAAATTAGTGTGAGGAAGTTTAGTTATTACTGAAAATTTAATTTCTGCACAGATATCCAATTTCGATGAAGCTATCACGACCATGAGCTACTACTTTAATGTAGATGCTAAGGAAGACTCATACCTTATTCTTGGCGACATGGCGGGAACGATTAGAGTAATGTTCTTCAACCCAACCGATAAAGGTCCTTTTAAACCCGTCCCCGAAAAGGAGATGTTGCATCTTCACTACAATGCTATTCTTAGAGTTAGTTTTTGTCATTTTCCCAACTACCAAATTACATACCCAGTGAACACTGTTATATAACTGTTGGGTAAATGTTACGTTTTCGAAACTAACACGTTATGTAGGATAAAAGTAACATGGAAGTTAGGTGTTAGTTATTATTTCCCACACAGTAATGTAACATGTTACGTTAATGTTATAATTTCAGTTACCTTAAAGTAATACGAATTTTAAATACATTTAATAAAAAGATGACGCAATTTTATCCAAAATTATATAATTTTTTTTTTCATTTTTAATTATTTTTTGCTACTTCACAATAGTTAGATATTAAATGGCAGATCAGACTTTTAATCAAATTATGTTATGATAAACTATCTGGTTCTACTTAAAGACTATTATGATTTCATTCGACTAGCAAACAATTACTGATAATGTATATGCGCGTACAAATTAAAATGACATTTTTTCATACGAGTAGTAAGCAAATTATGACATATATTAATCTTATGATATTTGACGATGAATTATGACAATGACGATGATGTAATAAAACAGATGACAGCTAGTACAGATATAATTCTGTTTTGTTACAAATATGTGCTGCATATACACAGTAATATTAGGACAGTAACATAATGTAAGATGAGAGTAACAAAGTTACGCTACATTTATGTAGATATGGTAGTAACAAATGTTATTTAACCTGTTAGCTCCATATTACATAACCGTTAAGTTACTGCATTGTAACAAATGCCATGTAACTAGTAAGCTCTATGTTACGTAAATGTTAGGTTATTATATTGTAACAAACGTTATGTTATTTGTTAGTTTTAAGTTACGTAAATGTTTGGTTTTTACATTGTAACAAACGTTATGTTATTTGTTAGTTTTAAGTTACGTAACTGTTAGGTTTGGTGTTCAGTGGGTAATTCTTCTACAATTTCCACTTTAACATTATTCCTGCTTCGCCAGGGAGAATTTAAAAGCATAAAAATGACAGAATTCAGAAATGTTCACTCCACCTGGGTGTCTCAAGTTGGATACTTCGAAAGCCTTCGAGCTTTCATATCGTGTGCAAGATGTTCAGAATGTTCAGCTTTAGTCAGTGATCCAAGTGGTTCAAGGATAAAATACAAGTTCAAAGTCCCCCTGGGAATAACCTGCTTTAGTTTCTGCGAAGGTAATACCCCAGTGAACACTGTTACATAACTGTTGGGTAAATGTTACGTTTTACAACTAACATGTTATGTAGCATAAAAGTAACATGGAAGTTACATGTTNATAAACTATCTAATTTTACTTAAAGACTATTATGATTTCATTCGACTAGCAAACAATTACTGATAATGTGTATGCAAGTACGAATTAAAATCACATTTTTTCATACGAGTAGTAAACAAAATATGACATATATTAATCTTATGACATTTGACGATGAATTATAACAATGACGATGTCGATGATGTAATAAAAGAAATGACAGTTAGCACCGATGTAGTTCTCTTTTGTTACAAATATGTGCTGCATATACACAGTAATATAAGGACAGTAACATAATGTAAGATGAGAGTAACAAAGTTACGCTACATTTATACAGATATGATAGTAACAAATGTTATGTAACCTGTTAGCTCCATGTTACATAACCGTTAAGTTACTGCACTGTAACAAATGTCATGTAACTAGTCAGCTCTATGTTACGTAACCGTTAGGTTATTACATTGTAACAAACGTTATCTTATTTGTTAGTTTTAAGTTACTTAACTGTTAAGTTTGGTGTTCAGTGGGACGTAACAGGGTAAGAAATTAGAACAGTCATCAATGACATTTTTTCAATCTGGTAGAGAAACAAATGTTGGTAACCGGAGGTCCAGATTGTACAGTGCGTACATGGAACCCTTTCGTGCCCAAAAAAGCTAGTAACATATTTCGAGGCCATCATGCTGGAGTATGTGCTCTGATTGTTCATGATGCCGGAAGACAAATCTACTCCCTAGCAAAGGATAAGTGTATAAAAGTCTGGGATGTCTCAACGCAGATTTGTATTCAGGTTCCAATGCAATTTTTTAAGTGAAGTTTTCAATTCCAACGTACGAGGGGTGTCTCGAATGTAAGTAACACTATTTTTTTTAAACCCGTTTGGTTGGCGGGAAACGTTTGTAATTTCGAGGTAATATTTGTATGTGTAGGTTTGTTCGCATTGTTCGCATGGACTGCACTTTCTACATTCGAGGGTAACGAGGGTACTACACTTTTCTTGACAAGTGCAGAAGGGTAGATACACTTTCATCAACGCCAGAAACCTCACGAAAGTTCAAGATGAACGATTTAGTACAGAGGTACGCGATTTTGAGGTTATCTGTACCGGACGACGAAGAATACGAAAATGAATGCTTCCTCCAGCCTTCCTTCTTGGGCTGTCTTCGTTTTCTTCAAATGCTGCAATTCGTTCTATTACCTTGTAATTGTAGAAGATGAAAGTTCCTTTCACGAATTTCTGGTATTGAGGATCAATAAGGGTCAGAATATTGTTGCAGTAGAATGAAAAACAATTTAACTACAACAGGGAAAAATTATAGTTTAGTTCATTCCAACCGCGGTTAGGTAGTAATACATAATTATTGTAAATTGTTTCAAACATTAGGTACAAAACTAAAACGCTAAATCATCAAAAATTATAGTTTAGTTCATTCCAACCGCGGTTAGGTAGTAATACATAATTATTGTAAATTGTTTCAAACATTACGTACAAAACTAAAACGCTAAATCATTCCATACATAAAGAAGATGCATTAATAAATACTTCTGTTTATATTACGTTGAGACGTTAGCATACATTTTGTATTTTCCTGTTTGTTGGTCTTTTCAATTTTGAAATTTACACTCAGATAAATATTCCCTCCAAATTTCAAACGTTTCCCGCCAACCAAACGGGTTTAAAAAAAATAGTGGAACTTACCTTTGAGACATCCCTCGCATTATAAAAATTTACCACCAAATTTACTGAGCTTCGATCTGCTAAATCTCCTACCCTATACATTTCATTTTCTAAAAACCTGTTGTTTAGACGTACAATGGTCTGCCAAGCGAGCTGGGTGAACAAACAGCAATGTCCGTAGTCTATAATCCCGTGACACACAAGATGATAATTGTCAGTATGGTCATTGCAATTCTCGTTTGCGAGCAAGTGATTAACCAAACGGGTTTAAAAAAAAATAGTGGAACTTACCTTTGAGACATCCCTCGTATTATAAAAATTTACCACCAAATTTACTGAGCTTCGATCTGCTAAATCTCCTACCCTACATTTCATTTTCTAAAAACCTGTTGTTTAGACGTACAATGGTCTGCCAAGCGAGCTGGGTGAACAAACAGCAATGTCCGTAGTTTATAATCCCGTGACACACAAGATGATAATTGCCAGTATGGTCATTGCAATTCTCGTTTGCGAGCAAGTGATTAACCAAGAAAACTCCGATGGATTCAGTCACACTAAACCTGTAACCTGTGTCCTGTACAACCATCTTTTTAAAGAGGTTAAGTGGAAAGATACTATAAACATAAAATATCATTAGTAAGGCATCCCTTAAATTGACCGTTAAGTTACAGATCGTGACAACAGGGGCAGACTCCTGTATAATTACCTGGGATCCTTGGTTAGGACGTCGATTGTACTTGGTGACAAATGCACACAATTACCTCTTCTATGGTCAGTTTATCAGTGTTGAGATAACTGCAGCTTGTTTCGACTCTTCGGAGCAATTGTTGTTGACTGGTGCCAGAGATGGAAGTCTGAAGATATGGAATTTCAACACCGGTACTTGCATTAGAAGTCTGATCGTCGAAAGTGATCGGTAGATCTTTATATGACACCATACATTAGACATTAATACCTTAGCATTTATTAGGGTGAAGTGAAACACGTCGAGGAACTTGATCGACGTCGATAAAGATTTTTCTGAATACCTACGTTGCCGACGTTTGTTTTTATATTGACAATTGTGTCGAATTATATTAGGTATTGTACCAAATGGCATACTCCATCTGTCGTTTTCGTACAATAATTATCAAGAAATCGAAGTAAAACCCCAAAAATCCTCTAAATTCATGCTTTCTGGGGCCCTAATTGACTGCAGAGGGANATGGTGTTAATCTCTATTAATCAAGAAAGATATTATAAATATAAAAAGTTATGACTATACCAAGTGCTTTGACCCCTAAATTTAAGATTTTTCAAGAAGTGGAGTTAGTCGATGTGTGCACTGAGCGGCTCAACTAAAGATAGAGTTCGTACTTACAAGGAAGGTATCTAAGGTGTTCCCCTCCGATTTTGTTCATTTTTAATTATGTTATAGAGGACTAAAATCTAAGGGACCCGTGTTTTTTTTTTTATCGGCGGATAAACACTTTTAGGGGGTGAAATCAGTCTTCAAATTTGGCCGTGTAAAGGGGTGAGTTGGCTGTTTCATATAGAAGCACTGGACCGATTTTCATGAAAGAACCGTCAAAATGTAGGGAATGAAGAATTATGAAACATGCATTTGGAATTTTTCGAAAAAAATTCATTTTTAAGGGGTGAGCCACCCCTTTGAATATTTTTTTTACCACTTACGCGAGCAGTAATTGCTCTATCCAAATGAAACTTGGTTAATTTATAGACCAGAACAATACAAAAAAAGCGTATTTTGTTTTTTTTTTCGAAAATCGAATTTTAAGGGTTGTACCAACCCTTTCATAAAATGATGTATAATCTCGTTTGAAAACCAGCTTTGTACGACTTTCTTGGACTTAAAGGACTTTAACGATGAAAAATAAGCGATAGCCGGTTATTTTACCGTTTCAAGAAATATGGAATTAAATACTTAACCTTAAATACTTTTCTCGTGTCATTTTATGCAATGCTTTCACGGTGTTCTGTTGTGTTAATAATCGTATTGATTGTATCCAGAATAGAACTTCAAGCTTCCTACGAGGATGTTTTCTCACTGCTGGAAAAGATGGAATAATTAATTATTGGTCATTGGATATGGAGTATGAACGCAGTGTAGTGTCGAGGAATCGTTAGTCTTGTTGATGGGCAGTATATAATGTTAAACAATTAGTCATTAAATGTGATGTATGCTTACGGGAATGATCCGCGTTCGTTGTTGGGGGCTCGATGTTTCACGAATGTAGTTTTTATGAAGCAAACTGCAATGTTTGTGAAGCGTCGGTTGTTACCCAGCGAACACTGTTATATAACTGTTGGGTAAATGTTACGTTTTACTAACTATCAGAATTATAAACTAACATGTTATGTAGCATAAAAATAACATGGAAGTTAGATGTTAGTTATTATTTTCCACTCAGTAAGGTAATGTGTTATATTAATGTTATAAGTTCAGTTACCTTAAAATAATATTCACTTTTCATACATTTAATAAAAAAAATCACGCAATTTTATCCAAAATTATATAATTTTTTATTTTTAATTATTTTTTGGTACTTGACAATAGTTAGATATTAAATGACAAGTCAGACTTTCAATGAAATGATGTAAATGAAAAACTATCTGATTTTACTTAAAGACAATTAGGATTTCAGTCGACTAGCAAACAATTACTGATAATGTATATGCGCGTACGTATTAAAATCACATTTTTCATACGAGTAGTAAACAAAATATGATATACATTAATTTTATGACAATGACGATGACGATGACGATGGTGTAATAAAATAGATGACAGCACCAATGCAGTTCTGTTTTGTTACAAATATGTGCTGCATATACACGGCAATATCAGAACAGTAACATAATGTAAGATGAGAGTAACAAACTTACGCTACATTTATATAGATATGATAGTAACAAATGTTATGTAACCTGTTAGCTTCATGTTACATAACTGTTAAGTTATTGCATTGTAACAAATGTCATGTAACTGGTTAGCTCTATGTTACGTAACGATTAGGTTATTACTTTGGAACGAACGTTAAATTTGTCGCGTCTTTTGATACTAAATGGAATGTTCGGTAATAATCGTCGGGTAAAAAACGTATTTCTATTATACGTTTATAAATTAAATAATACAATTTCGACACATGTTTGTAAATCATTAAAACGAAATATGCAATTGTGATTTCCAACAAATATTTCAGATATCTTCGAACGAAATCTACAAGATATCTTAAATAACCTGTCGCTTGAGACATTTACCTAAGATTATAAAAAAATATTTATAAAGTATTCCCTGCTACTAGGGTCCTTTCCAAATTTGGGCAGGCACGCGCACGTGGGGAAAGGACTAAACGGGATGTGTCCAATCGGTGCGCCGACACCGCTGCTTAACGCATACGGCGAGAACGGCTCTCTTTGCCCGGCCGTTCTCGGACTTGCCCTTCTCTCTTTCTCCCGACCTCCCGTCTGCCTCTCTTTTTCCAGCCGGGCGCCGCCGCTGGATTCGTCTCTTTCTCCCTCCCCTCCCCGCCCCTCTCCGCGGCGTGCCGATCGCGCGGAGGAGAAACGAGTCGGTCGGCGTGGAGATGCTCGAAACGAGATATCGGCGCCGCTACCCGTGTACGTACCAACCCTCTGTATCGGAAGAATCTCAATTTTTACATACGTACCGACACTACCTCCTCGCCCCCGCGGCCACCACCGACACGACCCACGCTGTGCTCCCTCCCCTGGTTTACTCGCAGCCTTGGAAAGCGCGCGGTGCACGAAGTGCACGACGCGCGCGCCAGCCTCCGCATTGCACCGCCAGAGCGCGCACCTCGCGCCGAGGAAACGAATCGAGCGAAATCTTTCCTCTCCGTTCCTGGAAATCTCGCGTTATCCGCTCTTTGCTTTGCGCTGCCCATTTCTCAGGACTGGACGCGAAACGAGGTCTGAATTCAAGGGCGGAAGGGGACGAGGACTTTGAGGGAGAATTGCAAGTGGTACAATCGGACATCGACGCATTATAGTTTGCGTTCCAGGATTTCTAGTTACCCACTGAACACCAGACCTAACAGTTACGTAACTTGATACTAACAAGTAACGTTTGTTACAATGTAATAACCTAACAGTTACGTAACTTGATACTAACAAATAGCATAACGTTTGTTACAATGTAATAACCTAACAGTTACGTAACATAGAGCTGACTAGTTACATGACATTTGTTACAATGCAGGAACTTAACGGTTATGTAACATGGAGCTAACAGGTTACATAACATTTGTTACTATCATATCTATATAAATGTAGCGTGACTTTGTTACTCTCTTCTTACATTATGTTCCTGTCCTGATATTACTGTGTATATGTAGCACATATTTGTAACAAAACAGAACTGCATTGGTGCTGTCATCTATTTTATTACATCATCGTCATCGTCATTGTTATAATTCATCGTCAAATGTCATAAGATTAATGTATATCACATTTTGTTTACTACTCGTATGAAAAAATGTGATTTTAATTCGTACGCGCATATACATTATCAGTAATTGTTTGCTAGTCGAATGAAATCGTAATTGTCTCAAAATAAAATCAGATAGTTCATCATTACATAATTTCATTGAAAGTCTGGTCTGTCATTTAATATCTAACTACTGTCAAGTACCAAAAAATAATAAAAAATAAAAAAATTATATTATTTTGGATAAAATTACGTGATCCTTTTTATTAAATGTTTGAAAAATTAATATTATTTTATGGTAACGGAAATTATAACATTAATATAACATGTTACATAACATGTTACCTTACCGAGTGGGAAATAGTAACTAACATCTAACTTATATGTTACTTTTATGCTACATAACATGTTAGTTTCGAAAACGTAACATTTACCCAACAGTTATATAACAGTGTTCACTGAGTAGGTTACGTTTTGTTCAATTTTATGTAGTCATTCTAGTTTTTGATGGAATTTTATACCCCAAAAAAACAACACCTTTGATGTTAAAAAACGTTGCGCCAAATGTACTTACTTTCAAATTTCTTTTCTCATCGAACATATTTTTAACGGGATGGGAATGTGACATCCGAAAGCTCAATCGTTCATAAAACTTTTCTACGAACTGAGTGTCTCAAATCGTTTCATGCTTTAAAACGTGAATATGGAGACTCTAAGATAGGTTCTGAAACTCGTGAAATTTCATTTATTATAAACAATTTTTAAAATACCTATAAACAAATTTGAAAGGAATTGAAATTTCATGAGTTTCAGGACCTTTCTTATAGTCTCCCTATTCACGTTGTAAAGTTTCAAACTATTCGGTAAATTAATTTGGGAGAAAAGTTTTATAAATAAAATCTCTTCGGCGCCACTTTCACATCACCTTAAGGTGATACGAAAGGGTCATTCTATATATATTAATATGTCAAAATATTTATAAAACTTTTTCCAAACTGGGTGCATTAAATAATTTAAAACTTTAGCACGTGATTATGGAGGCCCTATTGGCTATTGTTTATGCTTGGAAAGCTTAACTACAGCGTATAAAAGCTTACACACACACCTTTCAAATACATGTATTTCCGTTTTAAGAAACACGCAAATGGTACTTCTAACGACATCTATTTAAAAAGGGCGGGAACTTATTCGCATATCCAATAATAACTGATATTTTCAGTATTGTAATTTATTGGGATCATCCTTTAATGTCAATTGTCTCACTGACGGATCAATTAATTCTATTAATGATTGTCCTGTGCCTTATTACGTCTCTCAATGTCGGCAAACCCATGCAAGAAGATAATGTCAAACAGGGACCTGGACCAAAATGAAATATCGCTTCCGATACGATTCCGGTTCAATCTTGAATTTCTTTAACAGTTATTTTCATCAGTTCCGCTTGCGGTTCCAATAAAAATGACGGTTTTGGTTCGGTGCTTTGTCGTTCCGGTCCAGTTC